AATTGAATCGAATCTGGTTGGTTCGGTTTCGATTTTTGAGGTTCAAAAATTGAACCGAACCGAACCAAACCGAAGTTAATTATTTTATTAAATAATAATCCTATTCTAAAACGGCATCGTTTTACCCGAAGAGTAACCCTACCCTTAGTACCCTACGCAGAGTCTTTCCCACTTTCCCAGTTCGCGCAACCTCTGAGCCTCATCTCTCTCTTGGTCTTCAATCACTCTCAAAGTCTTTGTCTCTTACTTTCTCAAACTCTGTGTCTCTCTGTCGCAAAAGGTTAGTCTCACACTCTCACTTCTCTGTGTTTAATTTGTGTTCTGTTATCTGTTCAAATTGGTTCTGATTGGGTTATGCTGTATCTGTGTGCAATGTACATTTTTTTGGGCAAATTGGTTCTAATTGGGTTATGCTGCACCTGTTTTCGGCTTTTGCACCTCTCACTTCTCAGGCGATTGCAGCTTACAAAAGTTAAACAGTAAGTTCGAAATTCTTCTCATCATTTCTGGGTACAAATGCTCCATCTTTCTACTTTTCTTTTTCTTAGGAATGTTTTGTGTTTTTCTTACTAATTTTTTTTTTTTCATGAAATGGGAATGGTTGTAGTAGTTATGGAAGATAGAGGGATTAAACCATTGTTGTATTTCTGTGATTTGGTGGAAGATAGAATCAGACCCAAAACCAAACCAATCCGACCTAGTTCAAAACCGACTTGGATTTTCCAAACCCAGTTAATATTTTTCCCAATCTGACTTAGAATTCAACTGGGGTTCCTATAAAATTTGGGTAATTTTAGTTGGGTTCCTATAAACTTGTTTGTGTGCTTGGGAAAATGAATCTCAAATTCTCAGCCATGTCAAGATGTAAACTTGCTTGTGCAAAGGCTTTATTGATGTTATGCCTACCTCTCCCCCTGTGCGTTTTGATGGGATTTTCTGTTCTGAGAATTACTTTAATTGATTTGAATTACAGATAGTTGTTGTTCCTCTTGATTAATTTCTCCTTTTTGTTGGGGGGTGGGGTGATGTTTAAGGCCATGTAGGAATTTTGTTTTTTACTGCAGATGCACAACTTTAGTTGTGCACATGTTTCCTTGTTTGTGTAGTGAAACATGTGTTTTCTCTCACTTTTGATTGACTTTCTCTTCTGTTGTTCATCTGACTAATCTCAGTAGCTGGGACTCGATTTTTCTATGTCAAGAAGAAGCTGAGTAGGGTGCAAGAGAAGCTTGAGTTTTAGAAATTTGATCCTCGGGTAAATCGTCATGGTAAAAAAAAGGTGCTATGTTGCCCCCCTAAGCCGCTCAAGTGTTAGCAAGCAAAATGGCTGCAAGCTTTGTTTTCTTAGGAACTTTTTGCTATTGAAGGGAAAAAAAAAAAAAAAAACCGAACCGGAAAAAATTGAACCAAAATTTCAGTTCGGTTTCGGTTTTGGTAAAAAGCCAAACCATTTCGAACCGAAGAGCCCTAGTTTAAGACTTCCTATTGATTTTGCTTGAAATATCTCGTTTACCATTTCTTTCTTCTGCTAATAGAGCTAGTGAGCCCTTTAATAAGGTGCACTTTGATGTATGGTGGCCTAGTCAACATGTTGCCATTTATGCTTATCGTTATTATGTAGTTTTCATTGATGACTTCACAAGATATACATAGATTTATCCCCTTGTTAATAAATTTGATATACATGCTATATATTTTGTTAAGTTTCATGCTTATATTACTACCTTCTTTGCCAAGCCTAGTTGCCAAAAGCATACAACATTATAAATCATGTCGATACACTTCGCAACAGAATAGGATGGCTAAAAGGAAATATCGCCATCTTATAGAAACTATAATTGCTTGTTGTCTACAACTTCTTACCACTCAAATTTTGGTTGATTTTTTATGAGGGCATCCTTCTATTTGAACATGTTAAGGCACAAGATAGGCATCCAGTCACATGTTTCATTTGAATATTTCTACAGGTTTCATTTGAATATTTCTATAGGTTTCATTTGAATATTTCTATGTGACTCCTCTTACTACATTAATTTAGAGTTTCTTGTATTTCACCAAGATTTGAGGCACAATCAACCAATCAACCATATACCTCTACTTAAGCAAATTATAGTGCTTTTGGCAGTGATTTGTTTCCTATTGCAGCCAGTGCAATAACTACGGGAGTGGATGCAAGTCACAATGAGATTTAGCTAGAGACTCACCCATTTAACAGCTGCCTGCATTCTAGAATCCTAATCTAGTCGCATCAGCTCCTATTAATACAACCTCATGGCGACAAGATCCAAGGCTTTTTTTTTTTTTTTGGGTGAACCTCGGCAGTACGAGGAAAAATTATTGATATGAAAAAAGAGAAGTTATCCCTAGTCAGAGGGAGATATAAACCTTACCCCTCGTAAAGTAAGAAACATAATACAAGAAAAGAGGGGGGGACATACACCTTATCCTTTTTGTAAAAGAAAATACAAGAAAAAGAGGGTGAGACATTAACCGTACCTCTCTTGATAAAGAAAATATAAGAAAAAGAGGGGGAAAGGGGGGGGGGGAACATAAAATCAAACCCATCTAAATAAAACCTAAAAGGTAAGAGCCATACAAGACAAGCTGCAAAACAAAAAGGAAACTCCAAAAGATTAGGTAAAAAAGAAAATCACACATCAAGAAGGGGAAATAAACATGTAGGCTGGCATGCCCAATAAATCTAAATGCAGAAAAGGAATCAACTCTATAAGAGGAGCGGCATGCCAAGCAAGTGAAGATAAGAGAAGCCTTAGCTAATTTGTCAGCAACTGCATTCACTTCTCAAAATGTATGAGATCAACGGAATACCATGTATTGCAACAGGGAAATAAAGTTTTTTCCAAGAGTATGGAGCAACCAAAGAGGACAAAAAGAACCATAAACAAAGCAAGTTAACAAACTAGATGAGTCACGTTCAAGCCATAAATTTTGTCAACCCTAGGAATGGGCAAACTCCAAAGTAAGGATGATAGCATGAATCTCCGCATAGAAAGAAGTATGATATCCCAAGCTCAAGGAGAGATCACCACGAAAATAACTCGTAGAATCTCGAAAAACCCTACCACAAGTCGTAGGACCCCGTTTACCTAGCAAGGTTATCAATATTCACTTTGACCCAAGGAAATGGAGAGGATGCCAAAAAATAAGAACTATAGGACTAGCTTTACAGGACTTATCCAAGATTCCAAGAAAGACTAAAAGTTTCTTATCCAAAATACCACGCTTATGACCAAGAGTGAAAACTCCAACCTGCCTAATCCAGACTAAAGTAGAATGACAAAGGCGTGGAAAGGGATGGGGCTTACTTTCAAACTTCACTTTATTACGCATCTTCCAAATAGTTATTAATAAGAATAACCCTAATGTTAGCCAGATATTGTAAAGTGTTGGAGAAAGCTGCTTTGACACAAAGTGAGTAGAATAGTGCCAAATTGAGTAGAAAGCCAAAACCAATCATGTTGTGTAAATTCACAACTACAAACAAATGCTCAATAGATTCAGAATTACTATAACATAGTTGGCATATTAGAATCGAGGAATGCATTGTCGTTGAAGTTGATTCTCTGTTGGGAGTTTATTGAAAAGAATCCTCCGAATTAATAAAGTAGTGAGATGGAATGAAAGGACGTCAAATAATATAAGCCCAACTCTTGATAGGAAACCGATGACAAATAATTTCATAACCATTATAAAATATAAAAAGATCCAAATGGAGACATTTCCCAAATGAACACATCCTTGTCCTCATCAATTGGAAAAGGCATCTCTAAGACCTCTTTAGCCATGTTATGACTCGTACCTTGAATAGATTTCCTTGGAAACGATCGCCTCTTCTTCCTCGGCGAATAGTGCTAATATATCTATCACAACTTGACCTTTGATCGCTTTTGGCTTTACACACATAATATCAAATTCAGAAAGTTGGAGTAATCAACAAGCTAAACGACCAGAAAATGTAGGTCTAGTGAGTAAGTACCTTAAAAGTCAGATTTCACTATGAGGTGCAACTTGTGAGTAAGAAGGTAATGGTGCAATCATTGTGATGCATAGACAAAGGCAAGGCAGAGGCGCTTCGTTTTCTGATAACGAGTTTTCGATCCTTTTAGTTGTCTGCTAACATAGTAGATTGGTGTTTCTTCTCCACCGGGTTTGTTTTAGGGAAGCAAAGCCCCTACTCTGGTGTTTGTCGTGGCAAAGTAGAGCTTGAGCATGATTCTTGGATTTGGTGCCTTCATAGTAAAAAGGTTGGTGATCAACTACTGCAATCATTGTAGGCCTCAAAACACTCTTTGCTCCATACGAACTTCTTCCCCTTTCCTATGTAGTGGAGCAAATGCTCCTGTTATTGCTGCCAATCTCAGAATGAGCAAACTTCTTCTCCTTCCTTAAATCTTATTAAGAAATATTCTTATATGTACTATTTTGAGACGTCATTATGATGTTTCAGACTAATAATGTAATATATGATATTTTATTATTGCACCGAGGTACAATGGTAACATTATGAAAATATGTAAGTCCTTCCTCAATCGTTAGGGATGGACTTTGTAATTATTAGCTTTATCTAAACTACATGTTTATAGAATTCTGTTTGTCAACCAAAACTCTAAAAGTACTATTCTAAACCTCTTATCAAAACTAAACAAAAAGAAAAAACATCGGCAATTTGGTAATTACATGCCACAAAAATTTTATTGTTTTTTACACAAATCTCATAGCCTAATAAATATAATACACACTAAAATTGAGAAGTTTTTTTAACCCCACGTCCCCCACTTCAAAAAAAAAAAAAAAAAAAAAAAACCCCTTCTTCCAAGTTCCACGCCCAATTTTATTTCCTTTTATTTTATTGGTTTATTTAAAAAATATTATATAAATATTTTTATAACAAATAATGGACAATTTTATTTACACGTGTATCGTATGGGCACATGACTAGTTAAAGGATAAAAACAAAACAAAACAAAAATCTTAACATTTTAGGAGAGTGGGAAGCAAAAGTGGGTGTAAGGCCCATGGGTCATATGGAGACCCAAAAGATTGGACTAAAGCCCAAAGCATTCGTTCTCGACGGTACCACACTGCCATCTTCCCCTGTTCTACCAACGGATATGTAAGAAAAACCCCTAATCTATCGCCCTAATGTATCAACAGTTTCAAAAACCTTCCATCACTGAAGGCTTAGATCGGTTGATATTAGTTGAGATTAGTTGGAGTTCGAAGTTTTGCCTTTTCATTTCCTGCATTTTCTCACTAACCAAACAGACCCACTTCACAATGTTGTCTGTTTTCCGACATGATGTGTAAAATCTAGCTTCTCACGCAAAGAGGTAGGCATTTTCTTGAACTCCTTTGTTCGATTCGTCAAAGGATAAATGCTACTATTTTTTTTTTTTTAATGATTATTATCTTAATTTTTGTAAACAGTGTCTCCTGCTAGGTAACTGTTCTTCTAAGAGGATTTGGTTAGAAAGACCCAATTGAAAGTCCTTTCTTTTATGGTGGAAGGAAATCTGCGACAATGTCGAATTCGAGGTCAACAACCGAAGGTAAGGCTTTTCGTATATGTAGTAACACGTATTTTTGGGACAAATGAAGCATCAAAGCGTTAGATGCATCTGTTAGTTGGAGGTTGTGCAAACTTCATATGAAACATTTAACTGTGTTCGAAAGAGCTCGTAAGTTACCATTTAGGCTTTCCATAGACTGTTTACGTAGAAGATTGGAAGTGAAATGATAAAATTAGGCCATATCTTTACATGTTTTGTTTATAATTTTGGGTTATTTCTCAAAACATTGTTGTCTACGAATGTATAGTTTATAGTAGCTACTAGCTACCATTTTAAAACAACCAACAAGGGGTAACATGGGATAGTTTGTTAGTATATATCTTCCCTAGTAAACAAACTCCACTCTATGCTGCAGAGAAAATCTAATGTTATGGTAAAGGAGATCTTAAAGTGTCATGTATACGTTCTCAAGAAGCAAATCACCCTGTTCTGTTGTAAGTGCGATGTCAGTGTCCTACGGCTGTTGAAATAAACCATTTCTTTCTCAATAAGTAAGGTATATCTTTTGAATTTGAAGAACTTAACTTCCACGCAATCGTGTGTTAAACTTTATTCTTCCGCAAGTAGGATGGCAGTGTCAAAACTATGTACTCTATTGGTTAATATATTTACATTTCTCCTTTCTACTCTCCCCTTTTATAGACGCAGGCAGAATAATTTTGGCAATTTTAAACCTCTGTGTATTGATCTTTTTGCTGCTCTTGTTCAAGTGGCTATCCTGATAAAAGCTGTGTTCTGAAATATCAGAGATTGGCTCCGAAGCTTTTCTGGAATTGGTATTAAGTGTTAGGGAATACTGGTAGATAGAACTATGAGGGTTACAAAACCTGTTTACCCACCAGACTGCATGTTTCATGCCATACCACTGGTAGATAGAGCTGTAAGGCTTATGAAAAAAACATGGTTTTCGTGTGGCAGTACCAGTTAGTGCATAGAGTGGGCATTCAAATGGAATCTGCTTCTATATGTTGGTCCAATTGTAAATGGTGGGCCAACACATCATCAATTACCTAAGGTTATGTTTGCGTGTGGGACTTCCAAATCTCAAGGGGTTTAGGCCAAGTGAGGAATGTTTGGGTGAGGGACTTCTAAATTCCAAGGGATTTAGGCAAAGTGATGAAGAAATGGATCACAAAAAATTAGATTACAGGCCACATGAGAATTGCAAAAGCATGGGAGAGGGATTTGCAACTGACTAGTTGGAATTTAGAATGGATTTGCAATTCTCACGTGGCCTGTTATCTAACTTTTTGTGATCCATTTCTTCATCACTTGGCCTAAATCCCTTGGAATTTAGAAGTCCGTCACTCAAACTCTAAAACATTAGATGGGAGGATTACAAATGCAGTACATGATTGTCACAAAGGTATGCAAGTAGGATTTGTAAATGACTCGTTCCAAGTGGTCATATGCAAATTCCTCCCAAATGCCTTTGTAGTGTTCATGCGGTGCATTTTTAACCCCTCCTATCTAACATTTTGTGATCCATTCCGTGCTAACTTGGCCTCAATCCTTTGGGAAGTGCAATTCTCTCATCCAAACATGGCCTAGAAGTGATACTCGAGTTAAAGGTCCTTTCTTATTTAGATAGATGGTTTGCCATGCTGATTTGAGATACTATTGGACATTATAGGAGTTGGTTGGTTAGAGGCCTTTATCTTTTTTTAGTGGACAGCTTGTGACCATGCTTATATCTATAATTATATCATATGAGTAAAACCTTTTTTTTCTCACCTCAAAAGAATAGAGATAAACCATGTTTCATGGTTCATGGGGTTTTTTAAGTGAGTTCAGTTTTGATTTTGAAACATTACAACTTACAAGTGCTAAGATTTTTCTTATACAATTTGATTCTAGGTAATCTTTCCTATTGTATGATGACTTTCATTATCAATTGTATCTTCCTTGGCCAAGGATTTAGAGTTTTCCTTGAATAAATTTGCAATGGGTCTATGTTTGCATTATTCTTTGAGTTTAGTTTTCTTGAAGAACAATGTATTGAATAAAATCATTGGTGATCATCCAATTTTAGAAAATGTGCATCCCGAGTTTAATTGATGATTATAAATGTATATGGCTCCATTAACTTTATGTCGGAGCTTGTGAAAAATATGGCATACGTTGGATCAGCATTTGAGTTAGTTGTAGACTGGTAGTTGATTTCATCCCTTTGTTTTGACTGATATGAAGCATCAAATTGTTAGGGAAAAGGGCCATTTTAAAAAAAAAAAACAATATCCAACCATTCGACAATGATGATGACATTCATTTCAGATCAAATTCTTTGCATCTACTGATGGAGTTGTCTGGATAGTGTGAGGGTTTTGCATAACATTTAGCCTGCTTGAAATGATTAATCTGACTATATTAGATTATGTGGAGTTTAGGAAGACCTAGCATGACTGATCTATCTATTTGTTGGTATTCAGCTAACGTATTTTAGTTCGTTGAAAAGTTAAAAACTAATCTAGAATTAGTTGGCCCATATTTTAGACATTACCTTGACGAAATAGATAAGGGTTTGCTGAAAGAAAGGCATACTTTGGGATTGGATTGAATGCTAATACTTTAGAATGGTTGGTTGATGGAGGCTTAGCGTAAAATTCGAAACTGTAGTTTTAAATGGAGAAAAATGATAAAAATTCAAAATTGTTGTTTAAAGTTTCAATTAGATATGATTTGTAAGTTTAGTGGTAATGATTTTACATTGCAGGGAGTGACAAGGATATGCAATTTAGTGTAGCTTGTATAGTTTCTGCCAATTGTTTTTGCTCACCTAACCTCCTGTTATGCATGCATGAGTCTAAATTTATTTAGTAGTTCAATTACTAATAAGGGACAAATCATGTTGGTGAATCTATTTTTTCATTTGAATTGCCTCAATGATATATACTTGTGCATTCATTAATGAGTTGCATAAAATTGTTCAGACTGCATATTTCACAAAAATGTCCGTTGCATTTATTTCATTTCTGTATAATCTATTCATTTTTCTTGGCACTATTTGCTGGTAGCTTTTCACCTGACTTCCATGACCACCATTCCATCTACTCTTCAATAGCTAACTGCCTCTCAAGGTTGGATAGGAAGTCTGCTTTATGTGCAGGATCTTATGAGCTTCGTGTCAAGGCTAGAAATTGAATGGTGTGGTATCCTTATTTGACTACCGCGTCCCAAGGTGGGCAGTCTATTTTTACGTTTCATGGGGCCCGAGTCTGCCGCCATGTGGATTACGTGTCGTCTTTGTTTGCTTGGTGATTGGGAATTTATAACTAAATATCATTAGGAGTTGCGATTGGCAATCCAAAATGGTCATCCTGCACTCCTCGAAAGGCAGTTTCTTACCTTATGTTGCTACAAGAGAGGAGTGCAGGATGAATTTTTGGAGTGCTAATTAATAACATCTCCCGCATTTTATTACTCATAGATGTTCATTGATGTCCTGAGCAGGTTCTTTCTGATGAACGAAAGACTTGACAGCCTAAGGATTGTTCGATTAGACCATAGAATTCCATGTGATAGTGAGAGGTAGGTATTCAGCCGTATCTATTTGATTTTTACTAGAATGTATGAACATTTCCTGCGATGGCTTATGTCGGGATTAAACCAAGTTGTGATTGTTTAATGAAATTGAACCCCGATGTTGAATATGCTTTCAAGTGTGACTACATGGAATGGCTGCTTGGCAGCATGTCTCCAATCTTTCATATATTTATCTATGTGCAGACTGATTGAATGATAAAACTAGTGTATTTTGCATTCATGAATTTCCATAAAGTGAATCACATAACGATGTTTACGCACGACACGAAAGAGAATATTTAATAGATATTGTAATTCGGTATGAATGAGATGTTTGTACAAGAAACAAGTACCCAAAGTTGAAGGAAACAGTGATTTGGAAGAGGTAGACTCAAAACTTGATACAGGACATTCAAATATTTCTGTTCATTTGCATATCTTCCCAGGTTGTTAACTTTCCTCTTAGCAAGTTTAATATTCCCAACTTTGAAATCTTTTTCTTTAATTCTTCTTTCTTTTGAGTCCTTTTGTAGCTTACATCATTTCAGGTTTTCCCACCTCAAATTTACCCAGCCCTTCAAAACTTTGCCTTTTCTTTCTTTCTTTCTTTCCAAATTGGAATATTTTCAATTAATGTTGTCACTCCAAAACTTGTTCCACAAGAAAGCTGAAACTACTTGAAAACAAAGGTGGAAATAAAGCAAACCAAAGCAAAGATGCCACTTTCTTGTGGGTTTTTCTGGTTTCTCTTTTTATTTGCTTTCCTTAATGGATGTCAAAAAAGGACAGAGAGAAAGCAGAGAGTGATGGAGAGAGAGGAGAGAGAGAGATCCCAAAAGGGGATTTAAATCTTTAGGATCATCACATCTTATCCATTTATCGTACATTATGCGATTAAAAATCATTTTGAATTTTTTTTATTTAAAACTAGCACAAATAATACCTTACAAAAATTGATCGCACAATGAATGATGAACAAATAGAATGTGAATATCCGAGGATCTAGAAAGGATTCTCATCCTTCAAAAGGGACAAGGATCCTCTCCGGATCCTCTCTGTGGGGATCCGGGAATCAATGAATCGTGTCTGTACATTGTGCGGCTAGTTTTCATTTGGTACTATTTATATTCAATTTTAAATTAAAAATTTTAAATAATTTTTAACCGTACAATATACGATGAACAAATATGATTAATTGATCCTCCAAATCTCCATAAAGAGGATCCGGAAAGGATCTTATTTACCCAAAAGGAACCTCAGGACAATAAATTTGAATATTTTAATTGGTTTTTTTTTTTAAGAATTATGTGATTGTTACAAACTATCTACCGTTCCAAACTACCAAATATTGGAGGAGGAAGCACAAAGGAGGACATGATGAAACAACATTATAATTTGATGATTTGAATTGCAGATGAAATTAATCATAACCCGTATGCCACCAAAACTATAATTAAGGATGGTGATGGCTCATGATGATGCTGGTCACTTTATTTTATTTTTATTTATAAATAAAAATAAAATTGCATGGCGTTTTTTTATTTATTTTTTTAATTTTTTAATTTTATTTTATTTGAACAAGTGAAATTATCTACACTGAAGGGATGGAGGAGTAGGTTAAGTCTTACAATGGGTGAGCTATAATAATGTGGTTTAAATTTACTTTTCGTGAAAATTAAACCTAAGACGTTTTACTTACAAGTGAAGAAAAATATCACTGACTGTGATACTAAATGGCATGGAGTTTTGAACCTTATGTACAACCAAAGGTCAAAGGTATAGGTGTGTTGATGGAAGATTTGATGGGAAAGTAACAAAAAATTACAAGCTCATTAACACATTGTGAATTAGATCAATGTTGTTGGATCGATGTTGTGCCGTCTGACAGCAAGGACCAGGGTTTCCGAAAAAAAGTAAGGAATCAATGGACCACTAGACCAGCTACTTCAATCTGCAAGTCACCTAATATTTTTAAAATGGGTCATGGAGTTTTAATTTTCACATATTATATTATTGAGTTTTCGAGATCAATTAGGTATTCGTATATTTTTGACTGTACAGTCATTCAACAAATTAATAACGTGATAAACATGTGTAATTTATTTATAAATTGATTTGAAAACCACATTTGCATCGCATAGACTTGAACTAGTGATTATGGAGTTTCGGCTTCTCCTTGATCAATATTGCGTATTACAATATGACAAACAATCATACTGTTTGGCGGGAATATAGTAAGTGAGGTTTCTGCATTGCCTAGAAACGGGTTTCACATCAATATGATAAAGGATAATACGCTCAAATAGAGGGAAACGTACATTTCAAACCTCAGGATGCAACGTGACAAAGTTGAAACTTCATGAACCATTTAGAAAATCACCTTAAACATGGAGAAAGGTAAAAAGTAGTTAACTCAATCATAAACTCAAAATACTACTCGTAAATTGATGCATAAACAAAATAATACTTTACCTTTAAAATTGTAGGTGCGGCTTAATTAACCACTCATTCTTCAAGAGGAGCTTATATGCAACTAGAGTGCAAATGTAGTAGTAATCTAAACCTTTTACATGTTGTCATGTATTTTAGTTTGTTCACTTAATATCGTGTGATTAGTTTGGAATACTTCCATTTTAACGTACCATTCTTTCCAAACGAAAAAATTTCTTTGTAACCCTAATCCCTTACTAACAGTACGATCCAATATTAAACTAGAGGGTGGAGGTCCCCAAGGTCCATGCTACGTTCTTGCTTAGTAATTTGGGTTTTCCCTTAACTTCACTTTCCTTTTGTCCTCCTTCAAAAGTTGTAGGGGTAGGAGGAGAAACATCTTTTTTTTTTTCCTTTGTTTATTTCAATTAAAAAAAAAAAACTAAAAGCAATTATCACTTTCAAATAAACCCTTCTTCTATTTTCATATTAATATCAATAATTATTAGGTGTCCTATTAGAAAAGAAAGAGAAAATTATAGCAAATGTCCTTCAACTTTAACTCAATTAGAGTAATAGTTTCACAACAAAAAATCCGTAACCATTGATTCCTTAACTCATCAAAACGTGCAATTATGATTCTTTTCGTCAACTTCGTTAGAACCTATGTCAAAATGAGTCATGTTGGAATGACCATTGCTACAATTGAGTTTTCTTATTTATTTTTTATTTTTTATTTTTTTGAGGGAATGCTACAAGAGTCAAAGTTGATGGACCATTGCTCTAGTTAAGTTAAAGTTGAGCGACCATTTCTCTAATTGAGTTAAAGTTGATGGACCATTGCTACAATTTTTCTCATTTAGTTTTCCATATTTGCTCATTCATTTAGCCTTGGGTGTGTGGCATGTGACTCATTTTAACGGAAGTTCTAACGGAGTTGACGAAAATGATTATAGCTGACGTTTTGATGAATTAAGGGACCAGTAATCATAAATGTTTAAATGACCATTGCTACAATTTTCTCGAAAAGAAAATGATAATTGAGGTGCAAATGTTTATTAGAAAAATTAGTTTTAAGGACAAAGAATTGCGTGCCTCAGCATGTGAGGCTCTTGTCTATTTCCTATCAAGTCCACAACATAGTAAGAGGATTAGGTATTTGACCCAGAGAAAGAAAATGTGTGGACAAATGTCCATGCAGTGCAGATGCATATGAAGATGCAGATGCAGATGCAGCCGAGCTTAGTTTGAGTGTGTTTTTTGGTAAATTACTAATAAATAATTCGAAAAGCTTGGAGCCAAATTCATTAATTGCATTCACTCGTTTCAACCTTTTAAATGACAAAAGGACACAAACAAAGAAAAATACTAATAAATCCACAAAAGAAGTCACTCACACTCACACCAGGCACTTACATCAGCATGTGCTGGTTGTTCGTGACCTATGACTGTATGTTTTGACCTTTCCTTCTTCCTTCCCGTTAAACTATTTGTTAGCTCCCTCCTCCCCAGCTTCCTCTTGTCTTCTTACTATATGGCTTGGCTAACCCTAAGCCAAAGCTCATTAGTCTTAGCTCTCATCTAACCAACTGATCAATCACATAGTTTGAGAGTCTCACAACATAATATATAAAGTAAAAAGCATCTATATAGTGATATTCTATATATTAATAATTTATATCTAGTTAAAGAATAAATCATAATAGCTTCAATTGGACCTGACAATTTATCACTCCTTGAGTTTAATGCGTGACTCAATTATCCTATTTATTTTGATATCATCACTAATACCAACACCACCATCAAAACTACCAATACCCACAATCACCACCTTATTAGTGGGATATCAAAATAAACGGGCTAAATAGGTCATTAATTAAACTCGTTGTGTAATCTTTTGTCATGTCTAACTTCTACATTGTAATAATTTATTAGTTTTTAAAGTCTCAGATTAAGAAACTTGTCTCCTCATTACGACCTTCAAGATGACTCTTTTACATAACTTCATAACCACTATATGCATGCCTTAGCTAGACTAGGTCTCTATCTTTTTTCACTGTTTGCATCTTGAAAATTGACATGCTAATGATGCTATTAGCGCAATACTTTGTATTCATACAACTTTCATTATTATGAATAACAAGTGTTTTTATAATAATAAAACTAGTTTGGTCCAACAATGTCGTGTTTGTCTATCGAAAAATTCTTGTTGTAGTTTAAAAGATACAATAGTCGGTTGAAAGAAAATTATACATTGAAAATTTCGCAAATCCGAAATAGGAAAAAGGTTTCATATGTACATCATACATTGCATAAGTAGAAATGTGGGAATGCCATGTCGGATTAGGAAAAGATCGTTGAGATGTATATTAACATCGTCCTAAAGTTGTGTTAAAGGTTTCTTAATTAGCACAACTATCTAATTTATTAATTTCCATCAAATACGAATTTAACTAATTAATTATAAGGTAGAGAAGAAAGAGGGTTGTCATTAGTATATATATGGTATTAAGAAAGGAATAGTCGTGCTGGTTGATGTTAATTGAATTGAATCCAAAACAACTTGCTGAGTAGTGAAGATTATGACCATTAGGTGCTAGTTACCGTAATAAATAAGACGATAATCTTTATAATATTTGAGAATCTTGTAGGACAACCATTCGAGTTGAACCTTACAAAATAATGACCCCACAAGGAA